GCACAATAATCTCCATTTAATGTATTTTATTTTATTTACAGGTAAGGATTTTGAGAGTTATAGAGAGGCAGTAGAACCTCTAATTGGACCTCCTGCCTACCTATAACTCCATAATTTAAAACCCTTTCCTGCGCATTAATAAAGTCGAGAAACCCTTAGGCTTTCAGCCCTTGTATTACATATTTTTCTTAAGCTTGCGGTTTCTCTTCGCTTTACTTTTTTTTCTTCTCATGATTTGCAAAAGTGCCAACAGCAGTGTAAAGGATTTTAGACCAAGCCACGAGGATTAATAAAAGGATTACGCAGCGGAAAATGCCAGCTGTGTGATGCGATGCTACCAGAGAGAGAGAAAGCGGGAAAGAGACTTGGCAATGCTAATGCGGAAAGGCAGGGGAGTCATCCTAGAGCTGGATGCTGCTGCTGCTGCTGCTGCTGATGGCAATTTGTAGCAACACTTGACTAGGGATAAGGATATGAGGGTGTACTCCTCCCTCTGCCTTGCAGCTGGCTAATTGCAGCATGGCAGCCTTTTGCTTGCCACAACTTCTGGGGCGCTCCTGAAACCCCCCGCCAGCATCAATGCGGAAAGCCTTCCAACTGCCACTGCCACTGCCACTGACACTCTGCTTGTTGTCTCTGCCACTGGCATACAGGCGCTGCAGTTTTTCGGTCATATATTAAAAATAATCCCATTCGATATATGTTTTAATACTTCAAATTTATAGCACTTGCAGCTCCCTCTCTCTCTCGCTCTCTCTCTCTCTCTCCGGAACGAGTAACAGCCACAGCAGCAACAACCAACAAACAACTCTCTGTGTCATTTTGAAGGGCTTTTAGCTTGGATATTTTATTGCTTAAAGGATGCCTCGTCCGGTCATCAGCATGCGAGGGTTTGCTATCAAATATTGCATTTTATTTGGGGGCATACCATATTTTTTGGGTCTTCATTGTGGGTCCAAATCATTGTTGAGCAAGAGAGAAAATACTAAATAAAAGAGTAGACTACACGAGCCCTGCAGCAGCGCTCCCCGGCTGAGAGAGAACAGCCATCATTTCACATGATCTTTTGTGCATCTCTTCACCTTCTATTTTATCTCTTTTGGATATAGTTTAAATGGTGAATTGCATTTCAGTTTTTTCACGTATTTTACAGGTGTCACGCGCCATCCAGTAGTGCCCCTCGGTTGCTAGATCTTTATTCATCTGTATTCGAATGTTATTTTTCTTATGATTTTGTAGACTTTTATACCCACCCTCGCGTGCCATACATACTCTTCATATCATATTCCATATAGCTATATGCGTTTTTTATGCCCCATTTTAATAACAACATTTGTCTCGGAATATTTTCGTTGCGGTTTTTCCCTTCTGTTTCGTTTCATTTGGTGGATGGCCCATTTTTTTATGGATATAATGCCTTGGCGCTGATTTGCTTACAATTGACATAAACGACCAACGGATGAGTTATGTTACAACTCGTGAGGGCTTACCTCGCCTCCTGTGCATGGATGGGACTCGACTCCCATGACTCGTGGCAGAATGCAGATAAGCCCCCACTCAATCAGCATAAAAGTAGCTAAAGAATCCGTTGGATGGTGGGATGGTGGATGGTTGGATGGAGGCGTAGGAGGTGGCTCCTCCAAAGCGCCTGCCGTTAATCAAAGAACTGCAAGAGAGATACAACAACCTCCTAAGGGGGGTGGGCGGAGGTACGTATATCTGGGGGATTGAAGAACAAAGTCAGAGGAAAATCTAAATTGGGACTTGGCCCAACACGCACGCATTTAATTAAAGTAAAAGCTTTGCTTTTTCCCTATTTTTTTTTTTGTTTGCTCCTCCTGCAGCTTATTTCGCATCTCTCACATTTTTTTGTGTTTAGTGGGAAAATGCAAAAAACAAAAATAACTTTTTGCAGCAAAACTGTGACCGTCAAGGGATACGGCGAATTGTCAGTCCAATGTGGCTGAGTGTGGGCATGGCATGGCATGGCACTGTTGTTGCACTTGCAACGGGCATAATATCGTGCAATTTATATGCGTGCCACTCGGAATCCAAAGCAAACGAACAGGAGTACCTCGTGGGAGATGTGTCAAATGTGCGATTCACTCATTCATTAGGTTAACAAAAGAGTGAGACATTTCTAAGCACTGTAAAACTATTCGCACGAGTAGCAAGCTACTCGGAGGAGTGGAAAACTATTCGTAGAAGTGGAAAACAACTCATTTTACAGAGGAAACCACTCAGTTTTGTAGAGCGAACAGCTGAAACTCAAACTCAATTCATTTTTCAAATGTTAGGGGTTGCTTTATATCAAGGAAAAGGCTCACTCTAGTGAATTTTTAGGGGTAGAAAACTGAGGGGTGCTTTATGGCAAAGCAAAATGAATAGCTCCCAAAGTGTTGTATGTCAAAGAAAAATGAACAGAACGGCGCTGAGGGGAAGTTTTATGGCAAATGAAATTATCGAACATTCGACCAGAGCTTGAGAAACAAGGCCATTTTGGTTATGCTGGTCTGGCCATTTATCCCGAAACATGTTCCAAAATAACTAAAAAAAAAAACAAAAAGAGGTTCACCTAGTTCATCAAACGGCCTTCCGGAAAATGGTTAAGATAAGCCGAAGGATAACCAAAAGCCCAAGCTGGAACACAAGCAGAAGGAGAAGCTGGAGCCCAAGTCGCAGGATGATCTGGTGTCACTTTTGTATTCATTCTTATATTTGTTCAGAAAAATGCACTTTAAGTTTTTGATCGGAAATACAATTGTTCTGCTATTAGGTTTGATTCTATAATAAACTTATCTTTTCTTCAACATCCATCCCTAGATTTAAGAATGTTTCGATAATTATTTCGATATACCATACTTTTTAAAATATTTTTTTCCCACCATACATGTTGCTCTGCTTTACCATCGTAGCCATAATAATAGAACAGAATGCGGATGTATAAGTTCCAAAGACTTATAAACAACAACTCGTCCATAAATTACACAGAGTGTATATACATATTACAGATATTGTTTTTATTATTATGGTTCCAAGATTTTCGTTCCATAAATTTTGATCCTAGATTTTTGTTCCTTATTTGAAGTTTTTCTTGGACCAATTGATGGCGCCAGTTATGGGCTTTTTCGATGAGGAAAGCTCTAACAAAGTTGACTTTCAGGAGAATATAAACTGTAATACAAACATATATTGTAGCTTTATAACAAAAAATGCATGACTGAATTGTGTATTTGGTGTGTAAGAAACTCCTATTCAAATAAATTGGATAGAAAATAAGAAAAACAAAGAATATATTGGGAATAAGATGAACTCTAGCAGACAGAGTAGAGTAATAGACGCGTTACATTTTCTAAGTTTCCATCACACGATAGTATAACACTTTATACCAAACTGTTTGTCATATTTTCATTCTAAAATGTTGGTAAAAATGTTAAGATGAAACTCTCCACAAACAGAAATTATTCAAATTATTCTCCAACAAAATTTTAGTTTTATAGCAAGCCAAGAGAATAATTTATAAGAAAACCAAAGTTCAGAAATGAACCAATGTAAAATGTATGTAAAAAAAATAGCAAGTCGCGTATCTGAAAAATGTCTGTATCGTGAAGTGCATTTTTAATTATAAAATAATAGTAATAGAATATTTTCAAGAAATATATTGATTGATTGGAAGTCCAGAATATAACAAAAAACTAGTTTTAAAAACCCAAAATTATGTAGCACAAATGAAGTAACAGATAAGTAATAAGAAAATTATTTTCAATAAGAAAAAATAATATAAGACAATGTTAATATAGAATCCGTATTTATACACTTTTCGCGCGCTATTCCGATACCAATTAAGGCATAATTAGATAATGTATAGAATATTTATATAAACAGACATTGGAAAGAGCAAATACATAGCCTAACAAATGCTAAAGAGTGCCAAAAATATTATTTCTACACGGGTCCATTGACAATATTTAATGGCATCGAAGCCCACTAAAATGAAATAAACAAACTGCAAAAAGCACTACTCTCGCACACATCGAAATACCCGACGACAGTTGTGACAGAAAGTTGACCAAAGCTAAAGCCCAAAGCCCCATCCCAATGCAAGGGCGAAGGCGAAGGCTCTTAAGTATCCCATATGTCAAGTGGATTACATTTTGGGCGCTAGCGATGCGATGCGTAGCCACTGGCGCTGTTCAAAGGCCAAGAAAGCCAGTGATTGAGCCGAATAGATAGCAAATGGAATTGACTAACGTCCAAAGTTATGGAAGGGAAGGGAATGGTATGGGCGGCAAGGGTTTTCTTCTTTGATTTTTATGGGTCACAGCAGAGACTACCACAAGGCAGCGGGCATTGAAGCAGCAACAGCAGCAGCAGCACTCCTCCCCACCTCCCCAGATTAAAGACAACTTAGTGTTGATAGAAAAAAACTACTTGAATAAGTTTCATTGTGTGCGATAAGAAGGTGTCGTACAATCAAATAAAATACAAGTTTAGATAAAATAAAGTTTTGTGGCAGAAATAGCTAGAGAGATAAAGAGTGCTGCTAAGAAAACACGAACTGTTGGGAACAATGTTTCGTTATCAATTTTATGTAATACACGTTCTAGAACCGTGAAATTATTACTGATACTACTGGCCACAGCAAATAATTTTAGACGAGGAATGTATGGCTTTTTACCACCTAAAAGGTGTATTTTCTGATTCGAATAAATCAGAGGAATTTTAAAAACATTTTTTTAGGAAAAACAACAAATAAACCTACAATATTGGAGTGGAAATTCTGAATAACAACCATAAACTTAAAACAATAAAATTTATTGGAAATGTATTTCTAATCCCTCCCTCCCTTACTGCATCCGAAATACATCAAACCAACAACAATAATATGGTACCCCTTTTCATTCGTCCAATAATTCCAAAAACACGGCCATACTATTACTGGTACTTCATAATATACGGGCACTCTCTCAAACGAGGAATACTTTTTCCAGCTTTGCTTTTGGATTGTCAAATCTTGTCAAATTATTACATTGCCGGAAAATTCACTTTTGCAAGTTGTGTGAAACATTTGTGTGCTGGAAAAGTGTTCTCATTTATAGATAGATTTTAGCTAAATATAATAAATTTATTGAACTGCACTTTGCGCTATAGCAAGAACAATGAAGGACGAAGGTAAATACAAAAATTGGGTGGGAAATCGTATACGGGGTATTGGAAAAAAAAAGAAAAAGAGAAAAAGATGTGACGTGAAAAAAGGCAATCAATTAATGCGAAAATTATAATTTTATTGCGGCAGATTTTGTGCGTGGCGACGTCATGGACTTGAAGGATGTAATGGACGATGCAAAATTCTGCACACGGCTCGACTGCCGCTGTGTGCGCCTGATACCCTATCGTTTCGATCAAATTGAACCAGTATGTGGCATGCAACGCTTAGCTACCCTACCTCGTGTGCTTTCACATATTTCTTTGTTTTCCAGATCACCTTCACCTCGAAGGGCATTCGCATTGATGGCCTAGTGCCGAAGTTCACCCTGAACATCTACAAGCACGAGGTGATCAATGTGATGGCAAATTTCGGAGGCACTGACCAGCCCCAGGCCCTGCTTGCGCTCAATTTGCGCCAGACATGCGAGGAGTATGTGATGACGCAGCTCGGTCTGCCCAAAGATCAACAGACTGGCGTCCACCCACAAACCCGACGCCTCGTGCTGCAGTTCGCTGGCAGCATCACCCTCACTGCCCGCGAGCACATCAAGACGTTGTTCAGCCGCCTGGACGAGATCTCAGCCGAAGCTGCGGCCGAAATATTCCGTCGCATTGTCAACTACGATAGCAAGGCTTGGGACAAGGCCATACAGCCAATGCCACGGCAGCTGCATGCCAGTGAGCAGGAGGATCTACTCATCTATCCGCCCAGCGGAACGAGCCGCATTCTCATACACATGTCGGACTTTGTGTGCCTGACCAATGGTCACTATATCAACGACATCATCATTGACTTTTATCTGTTGTGGCTGAACAAGACACAGATTCCGGTGGACGTACGCGAGCGTACGCACATTTTTAATTCGTTCTTCTACAAGCGACTGACGACGCTGATGGGTCCCGTCAACTCGCGGCTGACAGCTGCGCAGAAGCGGCATGCCGGTGTCCAAAAGTGGACCAAAGCGGTGGACATCTTCGACAAGGACTTTATCATTGTCCCCATCCATGAGCAGATGCACTGGCTGGTCGCCATCATCTGTTTCCCGAACCTCAGGGGCCCGGTCACCTGTGACACGGATCAGCCTCAGATTGGAAGCGGCGACGGCCCCAAACAGTTGCCTGCGATGAAGCAGCCCCTGATCCTCCTCTTTGACTCGTTGGGTGGAGACTTACACCGCAACATCATGTCCACGCTGCGGAATTACCTCACTTGCGAGTACAAGAAAAAGAAGCCGTATGCACAGGCGCGCATCTTCGACGAGGATAATATGCCCGGATACTTTGTCAGAGTGCCGCTTATGCCACCCAAAGACACCAACGACGGCCTCTTTCTGCTGCAGTATGTGGAGCAGTTCTTTGCGGTGCCCATCGAAGACTACAGACTGCCCATCGAGGATTTAACGAACTGGTTCGACTTGCTCACCGTCAACAAAAAGCGTGAGGACATTGCCAATCTCATCCAGCAGCTAATGGACGAGGAGGCTAGCACTCAGCAGTGCCAGCGCCTGATCCTGCCGGTCATCGAGTTGCCCACTCTCAATGGCCAGCTGGTCAGCAGCAACACAACGAATGCGGCAGACATAGTAGAACGGCGTGACACCAGCAGCAGCTCTAAGATACCCAAGATCGAGGGCTAGCAACGGGGAGACATGCCACAAGGGCAGCGCACATTGGGGCAGCAACAGCAGCACTATAGAATAGATGCCATGCACACCAGATCTCTTAGTAAATACAAATAAATAGCACCCCCAATTATATCCTGCTGCCGAATTTTTGTTGTGTTTTTCCAATCGGAAATGTTGCATCCCCAAAAGACTTTCCTTTGGCGCATTCTTTGTGCCGCAAAACTGAATAAACATTCCCTTAAAGTAGTTTAAAACTAGAACTGAAATCCCTGCCACCCTCGCAATCAAAAGTATTCCAAGGGGCTGTGCAACAGTGCAGGAGAAGCAACCCTCTAAATAGACAGCAAAACGATCCTTAACCAAGTGCATTCACAGGACATTCACAGGACACTAGGGATTATGGGACACCCGATATCGGGGCAGGGGTGGGGTGTGCACATAAACCATCTAATTAGAAAGGCGGCAAGACAGATAGGCAGCCTTGCCAGTCAAACAGAAATGAAAAGTCATTTAAGTTGGAGGGAAAAATCCGCATTAGCAGAGGGGGGAAACGACCCACCACTACACTTCACTCCACCCCACTCCACTCCACTCCACTCCACTCCGCTCCGCTCCATTGATTATGCCCCCAGATCCTTGACAGGAATACCAGGATACGCTCTTCCCTGGAGGGCGAGAAAAACAATTTCAATAAGGAAATTCTTACTTTGACAAGCAGCAGCCATTTGGTCATCCGAATGGTCGCTGCCTCTCTGCCTGCCTCTCTGCCTCCCTCTCTCTCTCTCTCACTCATAATTGCCAACTAATGAGGCTCGGGGCCGCCTCCAAGTTTTTCATTTCCAATGGATGGGTGGGTGGCAGGCAGGCAGGAGGTGTTGCAGGGGACACTTTAAAAAACTTGCCACGCTGCTGATAAAAGCAGCAACAGCTCGGCAAAGTTCTTTCGGCAATTAACTTGCCGCACATTAAATGATAAAAATAAAAAATAAAGAAGAGAAGAAAATCATGAAGGAAAACCGAGGGAAGAAGTATGTGCAGCAGGACTAGGGAGGGTGCAGGGAAAACTCACGACACAAAGGGACGTTGAAGTTTCCACACACAAAACAAAGACGAGAGGAAAAGCCACTAAGGGTGGCAGTGACGGGGGCGGGCAGCAGCTACAGAACAGATGTGAGTGAGGGTGCGGAGGCGGTGGCGGTGGCGTTGCAATTTGGGTCAAGCCAAAAAGATAATGCGGTTCGCGGCTTCCTTCTTGTCACAGGGCGAAACTTTTGTTTTGTATCAACTTTTATTTTGTTGGGCGCCCACAATTCCCTTCCCTTCAATTTTCTTCACTTTTCTTCACATTTCTTGGCGAATGAATGCACTTGCTGTTGCTTTTTCTTCGAGCAAACAGATTTTCGGTAGATATTTTCTTAATGAAAACTGATTTATGATACGTTTTTGGCAATTTAAAACCGATTTCAGACCGATTTTTGTTTGAGGAGAGCACAATTTAAGGTGTTTAAGTGAAGATTAATTTTCGTTGCTTTCAGTTCCACTACTCTTTTTTTTAACGATTTATGGTGGATTTTGTTTATTGTAAACAAATTTTGTGTACATTTCTTTTCATAAATAAATCCATTCCAGTTCACTTTGGCACATTTTAAACAACTTTTAAGGAATTTTTGTATATTTTAAACAGCTTTTCCCATTTTTTCGCACCACTTTCCAGTTCACTTTTTTCACTCCAAAATCAATTTACGCGCGTATTTTCTATGGTCAGCCGATTTCAAAACAATTTGCATTAAATTTCAACCATTTTTGGTCCACTTTTCTCATAGTATGCCGCGTTTTAATCCATTTTCATAGCATACCACAACTTGCAGCTGCATTTCTTTAGTGTAAACCCATTTCTGACTCTATTTTGGCCAGTGTAAACCTCGTTTTTTTTCTGATAGTAAACCCAATTTTCTTATAGTAAACGAACTTCAGGTCCGCCTACGCAACACACTGTGGACCCGTTTTGGGGGCAGTAGCCCCGCTGCAAGCACAACGAGTGGCAGCATAACAAGATATTTATGCTGTGGGCCCCACACATGTCGCACATTTCTTGCCTAGAATTACTTTAATCTTCAATTAAAGACAAAAAACTTACAATTGAATCGATTTTTTTAGCACACAACACTCACACACACACGCTGCGGACATGAACGCGGACATGAACGGCGCGTAGTGTGCGTAAAAACAAGTGGAAAACGCCGACTAAATAGTAGCATGTGCAACAACAGCAAACATTTGGCGCTCAGCAAACGTATTTCATTCAACTTTTTTGACAGAACAACGCGCGCGATAGTAGGCGATAGATTAAACACGAACGGAACAGTTTAAAAACAACTATTTTGACATATTTGACAACAAAATTCGCGGAACAAAAACACAAACCAATAGCGGTGGTGGGGGTGGCGGCAGTGTGACCGAAGACCGAAATTTGAAAATGAAACCTTTGGGCAAACGAAAAAATATGGTCACTTTTTTCTGGTTGAGAATGTGCACTTTTCCCAATTGCGGACAAACGGTATGGGATTTTTCCCAATTGCGGACAAACGGTATTGGATTTACACAAATCCAATTGGAGCCAAAATACCTCCAGAACCAGTGTGACCGCGGACTAGCCGATAAAATATACCAAAATATACCATATCTGGTTCCCAAGGCATGCAGATTGTTGCTTTCCGTCCCAAAGTAGCAGAACATTCGCTTCCCATGTCGGTGAAATGTTTCCATACAAATCATGCTATTCAGCAACATGCGGCTCAACCCACGAAAAAGAGAGAATGTCACCTCGAATAAGAGAGCATTTTTAGAGAATTTTGAATTCCACCAAGATTGGAGAGAGTGTTGCTCCACCAACAATTTCGGTATTTTTATTGCGCTAAATGGAGTTTGGCGGTCATTTTGAAAATTACTGTAAAATACCTTCAAAAATTGATTAAAAATATTTATTTACCGATATACCGTAAATATTCTTTGAACTCGATTTCGTCGCCAAAATATCCCATTAAGTATAAAATGTATGGATAAATGTACCCGCAGAAATATACCGAAATGTCCAACTCCAGCTGGTTCCGAACCAGCACCAACGAACGCACTACTCCAGTTTTAGGAACAGCTGAGGAAACCAGGGGCACATTTGTTTAAATATTGAAATTTAAATACGTTTTAAATGAGAAATATGCTTAATCTGAAACTCTTTCACTGGATTACTTACAATATTTATAAATATATTTGATTTGGAGATTATTTGCGATTATCTCTATTTATATGCAGTTTTCTGCGCTGCTCTTTGGTAGATTCAAATTCAAATTGTGGTTTTTCGTTTTAAAAACTTCTGCTTTAAAGCTTTTACGTTTGCACTGTGTCACAGTAAGACTATAAATTCATCAACTTTTAATACACTTTTGATTTATTAGATATGCATGGAGTCTATTTTAATGGCTATTTGAATGCACTTTGTTTTTATTGGGGATAAATCGATTTTTTTTTGTGATTTTTCAACTTCCATTCAAATAATATACGAATTGTAAGTTTATTTGTTTTATAAAGCTGAATGTTTATGGACCGCAATGGCCATGTTTTTAACTAAATATTAAATTGTTTTCCAACCATTTTTACTTCCACTTTTATTTCCACTTTAATACGAAAGAGATTTAAACAAATATCCTTAGAGAGAGAGCAGGACACGAGGAGAGCGCACGCTGTCAACTGAACTAAATTCCTTTATACTCCACACACAAAATTTGGGGGGGGGGTTGTCTCCGACTCCGGCAAGGACATGCGCACCAGGCCACGCCACATGCCGCAAATCCTTTTGAAACCTTTTTTCCCGCCGAATCCTGTAGTGTAGAATCCATAAATATATATTTAAAAACTAAATTTTACAACTAAATTAATACGTAATCAAAACAGGCTACAAATCAGTCTGCTTAAAGTAAATTAAACTACGTTTTTGCTTAGAAAGCTTAATGGTAATCAATCATAATATGATTGTAAATAGTATCTATCGTGGGTATGGGTATAGGTATGGCCGTTGTTGTTGCTGCTGTTGTGGGGGGATTGACTTCGGCCACTGGCTCTGCTGCAGGCGGACTAACGTCCTCTTTGATCTGCTGCTTGGGCTTCTTGCCAAAGGCAAAGCAACCGCTCTGCTTGGTGGCTACTGGCGATAAATTATCCTTGTTTTTTGTGCTACAAAATGGATAGAAAATGTTTAAAGAAAATCCCCGTTTAATGGAGTGTTCAAGGGAGCACTCACAAAGCTTTCAGCGCCTCCAATTTGGGTATGTTCCGATTGCATGTCTTGCCACCGCCAGCCGCCTCCTGGGCGGCCAACTCCTCGGGATGGGCCTTCTTCTTGTGCGTGCGACAATTCGAGCCATTGGCAAATGTGCGATCGCAGAAGTCACAGGAGTACGGCTTGAGGCCCGTGTGCAGTATGAGATGATTCTTGAGGGCCTTGGCGCGCTTAAACTCCCTGCCACAGTAGTCGCATTTGTGCTGCATCTGATCCGTGTGCACGAGCCGATGGCGATTGAGGGTGGTGCGCGAATTCAGCTGCATGCCACACTCGGGACAGATGTACTTGTGCGGATCGTGCGTCTCCTTGTGATGCTTCAGCCGGCTGGCGCTCTTGAAGCACTTCTTGCACACATCACACTCGAAGGGGGCATCGTCCGTGTGCGTGAGTACGTGCACCTTGAGGTTGCTGATGGACGTGACGCGCACGCCGCACTGCTCGCAGATGACGGGCCGTGGCCGCTCATCCAAATGCATGTACTGGGCATGCTGCACGGCGGAGGCGCTGCTGGCAAACATCTTGTCGCAGCTGGCACACGGATAGACCTTGCGTTTCGGCATCGGCAGATGGCCCTGGCTGTGCCGCTCCAGCTGGTAGCGCGTGCGAAACTTCTTGGGACACTCCTCGCAGGCCAGCAGATTGGGCTCGAATATCCTGTCATGGTCCTGCCGCATGTGTCGGTTCAGGGTGCTGGCTCTGGCATACGCCCGCGTGCACATGCTGCACTGATGTGCCTTGTCGGGGTTCTCCTTCTGTCTTGGAGGGCATTTGTGACTGTCGCGCGAGGAACTATCTTCGGTAATCCCATAGGCATCGCAGAGCTTCAGCAGCACTGCATCTTCATCGTAGCCCTGCTCCTGCTCCTGCTGCATCTCCAGTTCCTGCTGCTCTTGCTCTTGCTCTTCCTGCTCCGACTCGTCCTCATTCTCCTCGCTTCTACTTGTTGCTTCTCCATGCTCCTCTTCCTGGTCCTCTGCCGTCTCATTTAGGGGGTTCTTCATATCGAATGCAGACTCTTCTATCAGCAGATCGCCTTGTGCCCCCAACTTGGGTTTCTCCTCCACATAGTGGACTTCAGTTTGGGTCTCTGGTTCCTCCTCCAGCAGGCCAAACTTGGAACGCAGCTCCTGCAGATTCACATGCTCCTGCTTGGCGCTGGCCTGTAGAATGCAGTAGAGCTTCTGCACGCGGCTAATTCGCTCCGAGAAGTTGACCAAAGTTGTGACCAGCGTGAGGCAGTCGGTGCAGATCATCTTTGGCAGCTCCTCTCCACGCGTTATCTGTGTGTGTGGAGTGTGTGGAATGATCAATACTGCTTTAAGGATGCCCAGTGCCACTTACATCCACCCAAAAGTACTTGCCAATAGCTGTGGCAAGCGCCAGATCGCTGCCAGAGCCATCTCCAGGACCGCCCGTGTGCTCATGCTTCAGAAACACATTTATATTGCCCTGCAGGTCGTTCTTGGCACACAGGCGACACCACAGATGCCAGTCGGTGGCACTGGCCTCGTGGCCACTCAGCGTGGCGGCGGCCATTGCTAGAATTAGCAATTATTTGTAAATAAAATAAAGACTGCAGTGTGCAAATGTGTTGCAGTCCGGATTTGGAACTAGAACTGCATTGGCTGGTTCCGAAATGAACTAGTTATTGGAGTTCTGCCACCCCCAACGGCAGAACAGCTGTTCAGTGTCACTTTTGTTTATTATTGTGAAATTACTTAAATTCAATTTAGAATTTAGAATTTAGAACGATGCTGGAGGCACGCTTCGGACAAACTCTGCTGCTGAAGAAGATTGTGGATGCCCTCAAAGAGATCATCTCGCAGAGCACGCTAGACTGCAGCGAAACGGGCATGCAGGTAAAGCAAAAATCCATCCTAGAATTTTCTTATACATTTTCGATTTACTCCCAATTAGCTGCAGTCCATGGACAATTCGCATGTTTCTCTGGTGGCTCTGAGCCTGCAGACAGAGTGCTTTGAGAAATACCGATGCGATCGCAATGTCTCCCTTGGCTTGGATCTGAAATCTCTGGCCAAAGTGGTCAAGAGCGCCAGCGGCGATGACTCTGTGACGCTTAGTGCAGCAGACAAGGCCGACAAGCTGCTGCTTAGCTTCGAGTCGGACAACAAGAGTCGCACAGCGGACTACGAGCTAAAGCTGCTGAATCTGGACCAGGATCATCTGGGCATACCCGACACCGACTACGCCTGCACCGTGCAGATGCCATCGAGCGAGTTTGCACGCATCTGCCGGGACATGAGCTTGTTCAGCGAATCGGTGGTGATTTCGTGCACCAAGCAGGGCATCAAGTTCTCGGCCAACGGCGACATGGGCTCCGCCAACATTAAGCTGTCCGACACCTCCAAGGGGGACATCACCATAGACGTGGATGAGCCCATAACCCAATCCTTTGCTGGACGATACCTGAACACTTTCACACGAGCCACACCGCTGTCGGATCGGGTCAAGATTTGCCTAGCGCCCGAGGTTCCTCTGCTGGTGGAATATCCCATTGAGGATTATGGGTTCATACGCTACTATCTGGCCCCAAAGGTGGATGAAGCGGACGCCTAAATTATTATAGAAAACATCATGTGCAATATTTTCAACCTTTCCAAATATTAGGCTTACTCTTTTTAGTTGTAAGAATTTTCTATGTATACAATAAATAATTGTATTTATAGCACATACTATTTATTAATTAAAGCCTGTACTCAGACATATGTATGTACTAATCGGCAATTTTGATTATTTTCCTCGACAGAGACCCTTCTGTTAAGATATTGTCCCAACGACAGTACTTTTTGTTTGTTTTAATTTTCCATTATAAACATATTTATTTTATCGTAACTATTAAAATATCATTAAAGAGTAATCGTTTTATGACGGTTTTGGTCTTATCATCATCTGAGAAAATGTAAGCGAGATCGAGTAGTCATAGTTCTTCCAAGTAACCCAAATAATTCCGTAATTTTGATTAAAAGTTCTTTTACCATCGTCATAATTTTTTCCGTTGAGGGAACTGTAACAATAAGAAATTAATAAAATATATGTTAACGTCTAATTTAAATACAATATGAGTACCTTCGAGCGCATTTATTAAACCACCAACCACCTCCATAATAATTCCCGCAATTAGCGTTCTTATCATTGTCATTATCCCGGTCCAATGTGGTAAATTTCATGTTCAGATGGTAAGTTAGTGAATCTCCAGCTGTTCCTGAATACTCTCCCAGCGATTTCAGTTTGTAGCCTTCACTTTCGCTTCCTATTTTGAAATCATCGTAGCGAGCATATTTGGTGGTACCATTCACATCTCGAAGTTGGATGTACAATTCGTGAGGCTGGGCCAAGGTCATTATATGAATTTTTTCCAGTCCCAGGAAGAACTCTCCCCAAACGTCTCCAAATCCATCTTTGTAAGCCGTCCACTTGCGATTAAAGTCAACACTTCCGTCGATACGCCGTTGAATGACCGTCCATCCAAAGGAATTGCAGGGACTTTGGGACGGCTCCATTCCCTTGACCTTTATATTGAAAATGCCATTTGGGCCACTATTGAGACAAGAAATCATCTTCACCTCCTCTCTGAGAACCTTGATTTCCTCGTCTTTCCCATTGATTTGCTCTCTGAGATCCTTGATTTGTTTGTCCTTAACGTTCATTTTCTCGTCTTTGTCCTTGATTTGTTTATCTTTGTCTTTGATATGCTCGTCTTTCACCTTGATATCCCCGTTTTTCCCATTGATTTGCTCTCTGAGATCCTTGATTTGTTTGTCCTTAACGTTCATTTTCTCGTCTTTGTCCTTGATTTGTTTATCTTTGTCTTTGATATGCTCGTCTTTCACCTTGATTTGATCGTCTCTCACCTTGATATCCCCGTTTTTCCCATTGATTTGCTCTCTGAGATCCTTGATTTGTTTGTCCTTAACGTTCATTTTCTCGTCTTTGTCCTTGATTTGTTTATCTTTGTCTTTGATATGCTCGTCTTTCACCTTGATTTGATCGTCTCTCACCTTGATATCCCCGTTTTTCCCATTGATTTGCTCTCTGAGATCCTTGATTTGTTTGTCCTTAACGTTCATTTTCTCGTCTTTGTCCTTGATTTGTTTATCTTTGTCTTGATATGCTCGTCTTTCACCTTGATTTGATCGTCCTCACCTTATATCCCCCCTTCCCCGCCACCCCCCCTCCCCCCTTTGCCTACATGTCCACCCGCCATTGAACTTTGATATCCGCTTCACCTTGATTGATCGTCTCTCACCTTGATATCCCCCCATTATTTGCTCTCTGAGATCCTTGATTTGTTTGTCCTTAACGTTCATTTTCTCGTCTTTGTCCTTGATTTGTTTATCTTTGTCTTTGATATGCTCGTCTTTCACCTTGATTTGATCGTCTCTCACCTTGATATCCCCGTCTTTCCCATTGATTAGCTCTCTGAGATCCTTGATTTGTTTGTCCTTAACGTTCATTTTCTCGTCTTTGTCCTTGATTTGTTTATCTTTGTCTTTGATATGCTCGTCTTTCACCTTGATTTGATGGACATAGTTTTTTGTAAGTTCCGTCTCACTTTTTAGTATCTGACTCTGCAAATTATTGATGGTGAGCTCCAATGAGTGTATTCTGTCGTTCATTTCATTATTGGCATCTGCCACCTCTTTAAACTTGAGTAAATGATCGAGGAATGGCTGGAGAACTGAGAAACAATATTCATTGCACTGCTCCGGGAAGGTAACTTCCTGAGCCGTTTCGTAGCTCCTGGCCAGTGAGGACTTCCCTTGCAGAAACATCCAAAGCATGATGACCACAAACGACGAGAACTTCATGTTTTACTGTACTCCTGCACTGTCGATGCAATACTGAACTGATTTCAAAATGAAGTCCCATGAAAATATATTAATTATCACTTTGCTTATGCGAACTGCTTATCATGTACAGTGTACGTGTGTATGTATATTTATATTTATTTTTCCTCGACATTTTTATATAGAATTAATTTGTTTCATTATTATTCGTTATACATTGGCAATAATTTCCACCGCATAAAAACAACAATGGAATGTTATCTTTCGAGGCCAACGCTTGGGCTCTTGTGCCTTGTGCAAATCAATTTTTTTATACTGTTTGGCTGCAAATTAATCTTCTGTGATGAATCATGCTGAGAATCATTTGTTGCACTGTTTTTTCACAGCGAATACTTTTTCTCTCATTTTCTCTCCTAAGAAATGTACAATTACATCAATTTAAATATTCGTATTGTGAAGTATATTTTTTTTAATTTCTTTTTTAAGGGGTCAAAACACTGCAAAGTCAGCGGGTTTGAGTAAATTAGTACAGACAGGCGGAGCTGACAAAGATTCAATCACTTATAGTACATATGTACATATGTATGTCCATGTATGTACATATGTATTGGGCACAATTCAAGACAAATCTGTAAATTAGCTAGTTCTTATCTACTTCGGCAAGTTCTGTGTTCATTGATTTCCACCAATGGATTTGCATATAAAATAACGCATTTAGTTGCATTTTGTTTTGGTAATCTCGCCTGAGATAGATTTTGATCTTCCCGCGGTGCTTCCTCTGTTCGCTTGACCAGGTCCGAACAGTACTCACCAAGCTATCATTTCGCCACGTTTCATAATAAGAACTTTTAGGCGAGAGAGCTAGTTCAAGAGGACCCAGATGTTCGTCGCTCGTATTTGACGAATATGTGTGGAGGTACTCAAGGTTCTTCAATTCTTCCAGGCGCCCATGATGTTCCATGATGTTCCATTGAGTTCCTTGAGTGTAGAGTTTCCGGAACCCAGCCTGTCTGAGCTTGTCCAATTCTTTGTACCCAATGGCCATCAGGTGAGCGTGCAAAGATTCCGCCATAACTTCATTTTCAAATGTTGGAGATTCGGACATTGTCTGCCCAAGAGACACAAATGATGAAACTTTGACTCGTAGCTTACGAACAATCGCCAACAATCTGCAACAGTTGTTCCAGTTCTTCGTCCTCAATAAAACTCGTAAGAGATTTATCCATATGCTTGTACTGATGACTTGCATATCCCTTGAACATATCTCGAATACACACGTGCCAGGAAGCGAGGCCTAGCTGGTCTTCTACGTTCATATAAGCCATTACGTCTCACCAGCAATCCTCGTTTATATTGAAGACAGTTGCACGAGACGTTCTCACTTTGATTTCTTTTGCATTGCGTGCTCTTCTAACATCACTACAAGAAGCTTGTTCCTGCGGAAAATATCAACCTTTATATATGTATGTGTTTTATATTGTATGGATGGGAACTCAAAGGCGTACCTCAATTTATGCACACAGAAATGAAATTAAATGCTTTGGTTTGATCACTCAATATTTTCTGAGCCTGGCCCTATCAGTACATTGTTCAGATATCTATAGGTCTATAGGAGAAGGAATTGCTCGTAATCTAAAATTGGTTTGAATTTATGTTTCGCTTTTTGCAACGCAATTTTTTGGGAGCACCCTACCAATGCCATGGTAGGCTTGTGTGGAATTATTTTGGAACCCATTCTTTTCCAAATAGTTGCCGTAGATCCTGGGCTTAGTCAAGGCGGCAGATTTGGCTATTTCTTATAAACAATAAATTTTTTATTGAATTAAAAGGCAAGGCGGCCGGCTCTATTGATTGTTGCATCCAAATTTTAGAAGGGAAACTATGGTAGTAATAGTAGGGGTACTCTTATAATTTGTAATAAAAACGAGAAGGAACGTGTGAGTCGCTTTTGGAGACGCGACTCTACTTATACCCATCGTACTTAGTCAGTATATACATTTTTAAGCATATGATTTTTTAGAATTTTAGAATTAAAAAAAAAATTGCATTTTAAATTTGTTTGCTACATCTGCTATCTACGTCTACAATGTATATTCTACATCTAACATGTAGATTGTACATGTTCGATTTAGATTCTACATCTCCTCCGCTAGGGGTTGCTCGCGCACTGAACGCGGCAGAGTGTGCGAGCGAGAAAGAGATTGGTAGCGGGTCTCTGTCAGGAGGGGGCGGAAGAACCAACAGAAAATTTCTTCATTCTGGCTATAATTATGATCTGATCTGATTCAGATTCGGCAATCTGATAGATATGGTCATTCTCTACGATACTGCGTTTTTAGTTTTATCGTATCTTTAAAAATGTGCCTGCCACAGATTTTCGTTCTTTGTGTAGGCGGAAGGGGGTGGGGCGAAATTTTGAAATACACTTGTAGTGTCAGTGTCTTGTACTTCCTGGTGAAGAGTACTAGTTACGTTTTAGACGGGTAAACACCTAGCCCGTATTTGTCTGCCCATTGCGACAGTTTTATAAGAGTACTTGTCATGCACTCGCATAGCGTCTCCCACAGCAGTGAGGCCTCAACGGTCCTGCATTGAAGCATCTGTTTGATGAGACTCACCGTCCGGGAATCAGTACCCAGGTCCGTCAGTGCACCCGTGATGGCGGCCGAGATGATGTAGTTGAAAGCGCCTTCTTTGTCAAGGAAGGCTACCAAGGTGTATTCCTCAGAGTTAAGGGACGTTTCAATGATCCATGTGATCGCTTATAAGGCCGTTTCGGTGGATCTTTCTTTCCGATAGGCATGCTGAGAATCAGAGATTAGATTGGGCGGAATTATCGCCCTGAGATGCAGCCCTAAAAGCCGTTCCATCGTCTTCAAAAGAAGGGACGAAGGTTTATTATTTTTTGGCGATTTTAGGAGCATATCCATTTCGTGCACAATGAGAATAGCCTAAATTAACTGTAAACATATTTCAGCATGAATTTGGATTGTTATAATCGTCTTTCAGGATCAACTTAACTATTAATATATCATTAAAATCATTAATATCATTTTAATCTTATCATCATTTGAGAAAATGTAAGCGAGATGGTGTAGTCATACTCGTAGTTCTTCCAAGTGCCCCATTCAATGCCGAACAATTTGTATTCAGTTCTTTTACCATCGTAATAATAATTTCCATTGAGGGAACTGTAAAAATAGGGAAATTAATATGATAAATTCGTATGAATTAACAGCTTTTATTTTTAATAAAATATGATTACCTTTTAGCGCATTTATTAAACCACCAACCACCTCCATGATCTTTCGCGCAATTAGCTTTCTCATAAATGTCATTATCCCGGTCCAATGTGGTAAATTTCATGTTCAGATGGTAAGTTAGTGAATCTCCAGCTGTTCCTGAATACTCTCCCAGCGATTTCAGTTTGTAGCCTTCACTTTCGCTTCCTATTTTGAAATCATCGTAGCGAGCATATTTGGTGGTACCATTCACATCTCGAAGTTGGATGTACAACTCGTGAGGCTGGGCCAAGGTCATTGTATGAATTTTTTCCAGTCCGAGGAAGAACTCTCCCCGGATGTCTCCAAATCCATCTTTGTAAGCCGTCCACTTGCGATTAAAGTCAACACTTCCGTCGATACGCCGTTGAATGACCGTCCATCCAAAGGAATTGCAGGGACTTTGGGACGGCTCCATTCCCTTGACCTTTATATTGAAAATGCCATTTGGGCCACTATTGAGACAAGAAATCATCTTCACCTCCTCTCTGAGAACCTTGATTTCCTCGTCTTTCCCATTGATTTGCTCTCGGAGATCCTTGATTTGTTGTCCTTAACGTTCATTTGCTCGTCTTGTCCGATTGTTACGTCGATATGCTCGTCTTTCACCTTGATTTGACGTCTCACCTTGCCCGCCCATTGATTGCCTCGGAGATCCGATTTGTTTGTCCTTAACGTTCATTTGCTCGTCTGCCGATTTGTACGTTGTACTCGTCTCACCGATTTGATCCTCTCACCTGATATCCCCGCCCATTGATTTGCTCTCTGAGATCCTTGATTTGTTTGTCCTTAACGTTCATTTGCTCGTCTTTGTCCTTGATTTGTTTATCTTTTCCGTTGATTTGTTCCTCTTTCACCTTGATTTGATGGACATAGTTTTTTGTAAGTTCCGTCTCACTTTTTAGTATCTGACTCTGCAAATTATTGATGGTGAGCTCCAATGAGTGTATTCTGTCGTTCATTTCATTATTGGCATCTGCCGCCTCTTTAAACTTGAGTAAATATTCGAGGAATGGCTGGAGAACTGAGAAACAATATTCATTGCACTGCTCCGGGAAGGTAACTTCCTGAGCCGTTTCGTAGCTCCTGGCCAGTGAGGACTTCCCTTGCAGAAACATCCAAAGCATGATGACCACAAACGACGAGAACTTCATGTTTTACTGGACTCCTGCACTGTCGATGCAATACTGAACTGATTTCAAAATGAAGTCCCATGAAAATATATTAATTATCACTTTGCTTATACGAACCGCTTATCATGTACAGTGTACGTGTGTATGTATATTTTTATACCCGTACTCAAAAAAGAGTTAAGGGGTATATTAGATTTGTGGTAAAAGTGGATGTGTGCAACGCAGAGAAGGAAACGTTTCCGACCCCATAAAGTATATATATTCTTCATCAGTATCAATAGCCGAGTCGATATAGCCATGTCCGTCTGTCCGTCCGTCCGTCTGTCCGTCCGTCCGTCTGTCCGTCTCGATGAGCGCCTAGATCTCAGAGACTATACGAGCTAGAGAAACCAAATTTGGTTTCCAGACTCATGTGATATCACACTGCTACAAGTGCATTTCAAAATTTCGCGCCGCCCCCTTCCGCCACCACAAAGAACGAAAATCTGTGGCAGGCACAATTTTAAAGATACGATAAAATTAAAAACGCAGTATCGTAGAGAATGACCATATCTACCAGATTGCCGAATCTGAATCAGATCAGATTATAATTATAGCCAGAATGAAGAAATTGATTTTTAGTTGTTTCCCCCGCCCCTTCCTGACTGTAGCGACAGCGCTACTCATTCTCTTTCTCGCTCGCGCACTCTGCCGCGTTCAGTGCGCGAGCAACCCCTAGCGGAGGAGATGTAGAATCTACATGTTAGATGTAGAATATACATAGTATATATAGATGTAGACAACATACATATGTAGCAAAAAAAATGTAGCATGGATTGGAAGTTATAGATCGTTTGGCAAGTATTTAGTTACTTAATTAAAAGAAACTGCACAGGCAGTGTAGCATCCATCCTTGATCTGTGGCAGGAAGGGTTACGGTTAGAGGCCTGTCGCTGTGCGTCTCTCCCCAAGTGTTCCATCCACCTACCATTTCGCTGGTCCGTCTCTGGGGCGATCCGGATGGCCAATTCTTCGGCACACTGCGGTCCATTAAATACTTTGAACAAAACTCTAAAAGGGAGAACAGAAACGGAAAACTTTCAGTTGGGATTTCCCTGAATATGAACAAGCATACACATACTCCACTGTCGATGCTTTTGGCTAGGATCCATTCCCATAGCCCATCCACATACGCTCATCTAGATATGTCGCCTTTGGTTCGTGTAGTGGCCCCTGGACTCAGCTGGGCTCAAGGAGCGAGCCTTGGAACAGCTTCGCATTCTGGGCAGCACTTCCCCCATGGAAAACGCATTGAATAGCAACCAGTCGACGGCCCCGGGCTTACCCTCGGCTAGCTGCTTGAGATCCTCGTTGTGGAGTCGCAGGCCCAGTTTCCTGAGCACGCGATACGAGAAGATTTCCCAGTTCAGGAGTCGCCGCGAAAAGCTGCTGACAGGTTGATAGCACTCGAGCTCTATGTCGGGATAGATCCGCTTGAGGATCTCCGCCACGGGACGCACATCGGAGTAGGTGTCGCGCCGCGAACGCAAGTTCAGGGTTATCCCTTCGCTCTCGAGCCATCTGCTAATGAGAATACGCTCCTCTCCAGACAACGGACGGATGCTGCCCATGGCGTTCACTTATTGAATGCAGAAAACAGAAGAATTTTGTGTATTCGAAATTTGTAATGTTGGACTATTTAATTTAGGATATTTGGGTATCAAAACGTTGTGTGTTCTACGGCAGTCGAAATCCTTTTGGGAATTTATGAGAGTTGCCTGCCAGCCGACAGCAAGCTGTCGTAGAATACTAGATGTGGGGATTTTCTCCATTCAATAATGGGTAAAAACGCAGCTTTGGATTCTACTCTCATTAGTCCCAAAACTAGTCACTCAGTCAGACACTCGTTCTGAACTAACCACAAGGCTTATCCGTGCATAAGGATAAGCAAAATGTTACGTATGCTTTACGTTTGCCATTCCCTTCCATTCACATGTGTCGAGCGGTTTGTGCTGTTGAAGTGGGCCAAAACCAATGCACCAACTCGGTCCATGTCCCCCCGCATCTCCCTCTCTGCAGCGCTACATGTGTATCGTATCTCTGTGTCTGGCCCTCTTTCTACACATTCCGTTACTCGTTTGCTGTGTCTGTGTCTCGCCTGCCCTGCGTAACCAACTTAATTCTGGCTAATACATTTTAATCATTTCCATGGTACCTTGCGCTTGGTCCGCACTCTGCAACACTCCGATTTACCCAGCCACAGCTGCTACCTGCCACACTTTCCGCTCTCGATTCGCATCCGTTGCCAATAGGCTCAGGGGCTCCATTGTAGCTCCCAGCTTAGGCGGTTCTCTGTTTCTGATTCACGAACGCTGGCCTCTCCGCGTTCCAGGTTGCGGTTTCGCCTTTTGACTACACAATGCGGCAGTTTTTCGGAGGAGTCACGCTGCCATGCCTGGGGAAGAGCGGCCCCAGCCGTAGAAGTGCATTTTATTAGATGCGCTTAGATGCTTCTCCCCTAATCCCACAGATGGTGCCAGCGGAACTCAAAAGTTCACTCAACGGTCGAACGTTAAGCAATTTTTTTCAGGTTTCTAGTGACAATAAATCGTATTGAAAAAGGGAAGAACCACATCATCTAATATTTCCCAATTGGCTGCCATTGGTTTGGAAAACAAAAATATATTATTCACAATTCTTTCGACATTCAAAGTATACGCAGCTCGAAAAAAAAGGCACAAAATTGCGGTCAACAATTTGTACCTGTTGTTTTTATACCCGTACTCAAAAAAGAGTTAAGGGGTATATTATATTTGTGGTAAAAGTGGATGTGTGTAACGCAGAGAAGGAAACGTTTCCGACCCCATAAAGTATATATATTCTTGATCAGCATCAATAGCCGAGTCGATATAGCCATGTCCGTCTATCCGTCCGTCCGTCTGTCCGTCCGTCCGTCCGTCTGTCCGTCTCGATGAGCGCCTAGATCTCAGAGACTATAAGAGCTAGAGAAACCAAATTTGGTTTCCAGACTCATGTGATCTCATACTGCTACAAGTGCATTTCAAAATTTCGCCCCGCCGCCTTCCGCCACCACAAAAGACGAAAATCTGTGGCAGGCACAGAATGACCATATCTACCAGATCAGATCAGAAACTTGGTTGACCAGCAATACTGACGTCACATTTAGCCAAAATGTACGTTTTATGCTTTGGCCGTTTTTGTTTGAAACTTATTATGTAAAAAGTTCAATGAAAAATAGTTCTGAAAACTAGCCAATCCTCAACAAAATTCATTGAGGATTTGGATCAAATAATTTTTTTAGGGCTGAGAGTGTCAACTAGCTAATAATATTAAACTGAATATCAATATCATTTAATACGATTTCAATCAATAAAATGAAACGTTAACCCATTGTCGACCAGGGGGGTATTTAGCGCACAAAAAATACTGCGAAAAATTTTCCGCACTGCGTTTTCTTCTTCTGCCTATTTGTGGAAAATTTTAATTCTTCTTCTTCCTATTTGTGGAAAATGTATCTTCTTCTTTTTTGCCTACTTTTTTGTTAGGGCTGCCAGATCGGTTCAAAGCGAATCGGTAATGAAACGGGTAATATATCATGGTGGCAGCCCGAAACTACGAATTGCCCGAGTCTGGCAGCGCCACAAAACTACGTCACATTCGTCTTATGTTGTTTTTGTCTGAACCTTAATATGTAAATAATCAAATAAAAAGGACTTCTGAAAAATTGCTAATCTTTTAGAAAATTTATGTATCTATCGAATAAAATTATTTGTTTAGGGCTGAGAGTCCCAGCCAGCTAGTAATATTAAACGGAATATCAAATGCGAGGAATATCAACGTTGAATGTTTTGAAAAAACAATCGATACTATCGTGATAGTATCGGGCTGATATAATTATTAAAAAACCATTGGAACCTTATAGGAACTTGTCCATTGTAAAAATTAGATGCCACCTGTCGATTTGTTTACAAATGTGTCTTCGTATTTTATAGCAGCCAATCCAAACATATCAAAAGCGCAACGACTGTAGCTCGATACTATCATGATAGTCGCAAAACCGTCGATAGTAGAGGCTAGCAGTAAAATATCGATACTATCGATAGTGCCCTCTATGGCGGAGTTAAACAAAACGAAAAAAATTCACAAATTTGCCAAATAAACTGCATTTTAAGCAACAAATGGACAACGAGGAAGGTAAACGCGGTCGTGGACGTGGCCGCGGTACTCGAGCGCGTGGCAGGGGACGCGGGCGTGGACGTGGTCGTGGGAAAAAGATTGATGATGCGAGCGTAATAGAAGCCGTCTATGAAGCGGGTGCTTCAGCCGTGGCATCACTCACCGCCGTTCTGGAGAGCAGTCCCGCCAGCACGGACCATGTGGAAGATGCCATTATGCAGGATTTGGACAAAGAAAACGAAATGGAGGTGACCACAGTGCTGGAGGTGCAACAGGCCACAACAAATGCGGATATGACGCCGCCGGCGCCTCAGCAGCAGGTGGCGCTGCCTGTAATGGCCAAAACGAGTAAGAAGCCAACCCAAAGGATTATCCGAACCTCTTAATAACATTCCTTTGTCCCAACAGTTGACATGGAAGCAGACATATCACAGCTGGAGGCACCCACCTTTACCACATTGTCACGCGGCCCACCGGAGCCGATGCTGCGCCTGAAATGGAACCACAAAGTCAGCCTAATCGGCGAGAAGGTACTGAATCCCATGATTCATTGCTGCGATCAATGCGACAAGCCGATACTCGTCTACGGCCGGATGATACCATGCAAACACGTCTTCTGTCTGAAGTGCGCCCGCGCCGAGCCCATCAAGAGCTGTCCGCGGTGTAGCGACAAGGTGCTCAGAGTAGAGCAAAGCGGCCTGGGCACCGTCTTCATGTGCACCCATGGCGGCAGTCGGTACGGCAGCACGGGCTGTCGACGCACCTATCTGTCCCAGCGCGACCTGCAGGCGCACATCAATCACAGACATGTGGCACCCCAGTTGCCGCCACCGCCAACGGCTCTCGGTGCGGCGGGGGGCGGCGGCGGCGTTGTTGTTGTTGACCCAAAGCTGGCGGACCTGAGCGGCCTGCACAAGCAGCGCAAGGCGAGTGGTAGCTATGGCTCCTAAACTAAGCTGTCTTGTCTAAAAACGCTTGCCCCTTGCAGCTCTCCGAGTCACCTGCCTCGTCCTCCTCCTCCTCCGCTGTTGCTCGCTCCTTGTCGCGCCTCCCAACCATGTCTGTCGGCGGCATTGGCACCATTCCACCGCCTGGCTCTGCCGCTGCCGTTGCGGCCGCTCAAAACTCCGTCCACGCGCACTCAACGCTCACGCTGGCGAACCTGGCCAGAATTAACAATGCCAATGCCCTGGACTGTCACCAGGGCAAGGCGTCGCTGCATCAGTCGTTGAAAAAGTCGCACCATCAGTCCGAGTCCGTGGCCGATGCATCCTACTACAGCAGCATATTGGCCTCCTTTGGTAGTGCTGGACCACCGGGCGCTCCGCCTGTCAGTGGCGGCGTTGGAGCTGGTGCTCCAGCTCCTGGGCACAGCTCGACTCAAGCCACCTACGAGACGGCCAGTGCAGCGGGCAGCACAAGCGGCAATTGGCAGCAAACGCAATATAGGATATGATAGGAAACCACCACCACCATACGGCGGCTTTTTAGGCAAGTTCGGTTTTAAATTAAGACGAAAGTGAATGTAAATTAAGATTGAAATGAAATTAAAAGAATGTATTTTAAAGAGAGCTTTTTACCTTTTTTGTAAAGTTTGCTTTACAAGAACGAAAGATTATAGCTATTTGATGTAGTACTGATTTTTCTCATAATATTTATTGAAATAGTTGCTAAAACATGGAAATTAGAAGATGGAGTTCCTCCTTACCATTTTCCATTTGAATAGCGCGCGAACAGGAATCGATACTTGGTTGAAGTGAACGCAATCGATACATGGAAATATGCTGCAAGTTTGGATATCGCCAAAAAACCATTTCTAAAAAGAAAAACCACAATAACAAATTAATTTAAATAATTGATGGATGGTACATTTTTATGTATTTTCATCTTGCAATAAGAATTCCCCGCTCAAAAAAGAACTGACGATGTCTACTTCACACCAATCGATACTATCGATACACAGTCAGCTGCTTGAAATTAAAAATGTAAACAAATCCATAAATTTTTGACTAAAATTACCATAAATAAAATGCAACAATGCCCGACGTTTAACCCAGAGTTCAGGCCTGAGAGAATCTCTGATGCAATAAAACACACAGCAGCAGCAGTATTGAGGGCAGGGCCAGATCCATTGGAAAAAGCAAGCGAGAGGCAGCCAAAAGTGAAAGTTGGGCAGAGAGAAAAATGCTGAAAATAGTCTTAATCAGTGGCAAACGCAAGTGCGGCAAGGATTATATATCCGAGAGGCTACAGAAGCGGTAAGTGGTGTACAAATCAATCATTCAATCAATGTAGTTTTGTGTTTTTTCAATAGCCTAGCGAATCGCGTACGAATCGTACGTATCTCGGAGCCCATCAAATCGGAATGGGCACGCAAGCTGCAATTGGATCTCAGCGCCTTGCTCAGCGATGGCCCCTACAAGGAGCAGTATCGTCGGGACATGATTGTATGGAGCGATGAGATGCGCAGCAAGGATTATGGCTACTTTTGCCGTGCAGCCATGGAGGAGGCGCCTCTGGATCAGATCCCTTACGTCATAGTCAGCGATGTTCGCCGCAAGAATGACATCAAATGGTTTCGCGAGACCTATGGCCAGGACATGGTGCGAACTGTGCGCCTTACCTCCCGCTCAGAGACGCGTCAGGCCAGGGGCTGGACCTTCACCCAGGGCATTGATGATGTGCCCTCCGAATGTGATCTGGATGACTACGATAGCTTTGACTTTGTTGTGCCTAATGAAGATGAGAATGATCAGGGATTTATAGATCAACTGTTGGATATGTTGCAACTCAAGTAACTGATTAGATGTAGCTATCCAAAATGTGCTCGAATATGTATTTTTGATATCAAATGTATTGCAAATGTTTAAGATACTCCTAGGTTTACCCACGTTACACATCACAAATTAATTAAGAGGAATTACTTAAATAGGGAAATACAACTATATAATGATATCATTTATAATGGTTGCTGTATCTACAAATTTTCTGCATATTTAATTAAGAGTTTAATCACGATAATGCCTGTCCTTGCACTTTGAGCGGAACAAAATACACTTTGTACTCACAATTTTTGGTCACAAGTGCATAATAAATGTATTATTTATTTAATAAATTTTCTACTTTCATAATGTTGTAAGTAATTAGATCATAAGATAGTCGCTACTGAAATTTATTTCCATTTCTTTTATTTTATTTAAAATTACCGCCTGGCACTTGCTAGCTGGCAGACCAGGGTCGCGAAAATAGCGGATATGGTCACACTGTCAATTTGAATTTGAATTAAAAATCTTAAGACATTTTGATCATATCAAAGATAGTTTAGGGCTACATAAAAAACCAATATTTTCCATTAACTCATATAAATTTTAAAACATTTACTTGCAGTAAATAAAAGTTTATTTTTGTAATATCATTTATACATGCATAATGAAGTACATAACCGAATACTGAGTGAGAGTGGACAAAGGTTATTAGCTTATAAAACAATACATACATTAATCCCTTACGCAGGACCTACACTCTAAGTCAGATGCAACAAATACAGAAACACTGATTAACAATATATTTATTTTTGTGAGTACGAATAGTTGGAGGATATTAATCCACTTGCTTGCCCTCATCACGATTTCGCTTGAACGAAACGGAGTGGATGAGAAGTGGCGGCAAATTTCCGCGCAGCATTTGAAGACGCTTGCTCTTCTCCTTCTCCGGACGACGCAGCTCGTTGTTGGAGGACCCAGGCGACGTGGAAGATGTGGCCGATGGTGTCATGGAAGCCAACGAACTGCCCGGCAATACTTCCGAGCTCTGGGTCATGAGCATTGCGGAGCGACGGAAGTAGCGCGGCATCGAGTAATCATCCTGTGTGGCCCGCGCCGCATTTGCCGTCTGAATAGAGTACAAGCTCTGCGAGACGCGATACTTCTCGATGGTCGGCGTGTCCTCGTAGTTCTTGGGCAGGTTGCTGAATGATATGAAGGGCACCTCCGGTGTCATGCTGATCTGGCTGCTGTTCACAGTGCCGCTGATCGAGAATATATCCGTTTCACTGGCCGCCGATCTCACATGCATGTGCGGCACACTCTTCGCCGAGCGCAGGGTACGCTTCGGTGTGGTGGGCAACAAATGGGGATGCCTGTCAATGAGGCGCGGACGCAGTACCACCTCCTCTATGGAATCCTCCTCCTCTTCCTTTTCGTCTTCCTTCTCCTCCTCGGCAATGGCCTCGAACTTCTTGGGCGACAATGTCTGACTGCCCTCGGGCGAGCAGTCAGCCGAGGATGGGGCCAAGGTGAATGTGATTCGTTTCTCCGGTGATATCTTTGAATCTGTAGCATCGCCTGGAATATAAGGGACAATTACTATAAATCGTAACTAAAGATCATCAGTTAGCTGGCAGCAAGCAGATAGTACTTATAAAAGGTTGACAAACAAGATAAGACCCCGAGAGTTCATGACAGATATCACAGATATGAAGAGATAACAAACAGCCCTCTGGCGGAAACCAGGAAAGAGCAGGCACTTGGGAAATTCCTCTGTTTCTACGCCTCAAAGAATCATAACCTATATCAATATCAGATATGTACTTTATATTTATATTAGTCGACCATTATCTGAGTCAGGAAATATTCGTATGACAAGCCCAAACCAAACCATCAAATGGTTGGTTGTTGACCGCACGTAATCTTTATCTATCAAGAATAGAATTGTAATCATGCTGATTCAGTAAACATTTACGATACAAAGACTGTTCTATAACTTGTATATAACACAGTGCAAAACAAATATATAAAGGGAAAAATAATAGGGAAAAATTGTAGAAGATTAATTTTTTAATTTATTCCCTTGTCATTTTTGTACCCAAACTTTAGGCATTTTTTAAATTCCTACAAAACAAGTTTAAGCACTCTTTCCTCTCTGCCTCTAAAGCACTGAAACGCACTGTTTAGTTTCTTGCTCAGAGGCTCACACCAGAACCCCCGTTTGAGGGCACGTCCCAAGAAAGACAAACGTCAGAGCCATAAAAATATACACATACTATATACGTGCTATAACTTGTGACGCCTTTGCGGCAATACACACAGTGAGCGAAAGGTAATAAAATCTCGCTTATAAATGTTTTTGGCTCAGTGTATCAAAAGTCCATTCACCATTCAGCAACAAAAAACGTGATGATTAGTTAAATGTCGTTAAGATTGGCGCATGTCATGAGTACATATGTACGTACGTACGTATAATCTATAAATACAACAAAAACCCTTGGGGTAAAACAATATTCTAGGGCAACTTTTCCATTGTCTTGGCAGACAATTCCTCTGAAATTAAAGGGGAATTGTTTAATTATACCCGTACTCAAAAAGAATTAAGGGGTATATTAGATTTAAAGTCGATGTGTGCAACGCATCCATTTGTCCGTCCGTCTTGTTTGTCGCTTCGATCTCGGAGACCATAAAAGCTGGAGCAATCAAATTTTGTTTCCAGACTCATGATATCACAAATTCTACATAAAGCTCGCAAATTTATATTCTGACTGAGTACGGGTATAAAAGTAGAGTCGCGTCCCAAGAAGCGACTCACACGTTCCTTCTCGTGCTTTTTAGCTTTAAGCAAAACAATGTACTAAGCTAAAAACTTCCATTGTTCGTTGATTTTTTAAAGGGTTTGCCTACTCATAAGAAAAGACAGACCAATAACGCTTTGAAATTCGATTTCTATGCCTTAAGGGCTTTTTTAAGCTGTGATTGCGAATGAATCGAAATTGAAAAACTGATTAGAAGGTCTCCTGTCTCGACTCTCTTATCTCATAATTTATGTCGCCCAAAACTCTCTTTATCTGTCCAAAAAGAAGCCACGAAAAATCCCTTCCCACCCGTACACTCTGTTTATTTGCTGTTAACATTTTTATATATGCGATTCCGATAAGGGAATCAAAATCAGGAATTTGACTAATTAGCTGATTGGTTCGATTCGCTTTGGGCATGGGGAGAGAGAGAGAGAGAAGAGTGCTGGTGGTGTGGTGGAGTGTACTCTCCTGCCATAATGATTGCTCAATTTGCATAAAATATGATAAATCGCTGACAAACAGATCCAACCACCCCACCCATAAAAATGATCTCCAATTGCGGCTTGCGGGTTTTATCATTTTCCAGATGCGATAACTAATGCCTGACGTACACCATGTGTGAATGGATACCAGAACGAATACCCCACACACAACGAATGTTAATCCAACTCCAGATGGGAAACCGGTATCGTTGTCAGTGCGAAAAAATCTTGTTAATTAAATTTTTGGTCCCAGTTTTCAGATTGCATTTCTGTTCTTCCTCATTTGAGGCTTTAAAAGGTGTGGAAAATTTTGTGTGACGAGAATAAGGTTAATTGAAGAGAAACGGTAGTACGGGAAGAGTACCTTTGATATGACGTCAAAGGCAGAAAAGAATTTCACACAAGTCTGTTATTATACTGGTCCGAAAAGATCTTATTTTATTGACTCCCAAAACTGATCTATATTTTTCATGAAACTTCTTTAAACTTCCTAAAAGTTTAAGCAGTTTGAACGTTTTCCCTCTAGCTTCTATTCCCACATATTCTTTATTAATTCATCTCCTATTAATTTCCCTACTCCTCTCAATTTTCATATTTAGAAATATTTATTTTATATCCCACATGGAATATTATTAGGAAGACCCTCTTCATGCTACTACAGTGTGTGTGTTTAATCCGATCTCAGGCAATTAGCTGCAGCTGTTGGGTAATGCCAATGCTTAACAAACAATTTCATTGTTCAAAGTGCACAAATTATTTCGCACTTTTGCTAAGAGATTGCTGAGAAAAATGACTCAAAGTCGAATCAGCAAAATGGTTTATTGTGAGTGTGTGTCTAAATCACAAAAAATGACAAAACTGGCAAAATTAATGCATAAAGCTGGAATTGGATGCATTAAAATGGGATACAAGCTTTAAAAAATGACCTATCCTTTCATTTATAATAGAAATTGTCTTAAAGGGGGCAACCTACTGAAGCGGACATTATATACATTTTTGTAGTATTTTTCAACCAATTGAAATGTTTTGTCGAGGCACAATTGAGTGCCCGGATCACCTATGCCAATAATCTTGAAGATTAAATGGTTCTTAGGAATGGAAATTCCCATTAATATAGCTGTTTCTTTCCATCCAAAAAATGGAGTGGATTTTGTGGAATTCGAATTATACCTTAGACAGGATTCATCGCCAGAGAGATGATTGATTATGATAAAAATTCAGTTCCTGTTACGCCCAATCCCTTGATGATTCTTCAATGAATATCTTAAGAGTTCAATGTCCCCAAGTTAACTATCTTGAACTATCTTTTTAGCTCTAGTATGATCATTATTGACTGTTCTTTCTTCAGTTATTATTTATATGAACCCAGAAAATGGTTATTTCTTTTCGTGTTGTTTGTTTGTGATAAGTAAAAATTGTTTTACTCGGGGTCTTATTGTATTGTAGGACTACACATTTACAAGGTCCATCAATTAAGACTTATATAGGATATAGTTATAGTAAAAATAAAGTATGGATACTTAGAACTCTAGATAATACTAAAATGCCAGCAATATATCGTTGTGTGTCTGTGTGCTGTTGCTATCGGCCAACACTTATAACTAATTAGTTAATAATATTAAGTCACATTTTGTGTGTGTTCCGAAAGTTTATCAATCTTTGGCACAAATACTGCGAATAAACACCCCGAGACCCCTGGCGGTGTGTTCCCGGTGCCCTCCCCTCTCCAATCAATTTAGATAGAACTTAACCTTCGGCACACCGCTGGACACAATGCTGCTGCTTCGTGTGCTCTTGCCACTCTTGCTACCATTGCCACCACCTAGGAGCGGTGTATGGGCACCACCATGTCCATCATTACCTTCCAGGCGGCGCAACAAGCGCTCCTGATCGCTGACACGCGGCGTTGT